GTCACAATGGATTGAAGGGAAGAGTTATAGTAATGGTGTTGATCACAACATACTTTCACTCATTAAACTCATTCACTTAAAATTTGAATAATTACATATGAATACACCGTTCTTTCTTGTAGGAAGAAGAAGATGACGGAGAGGTGGAGATTCTTTTGCCAATTGCATGAGAATTTATGAGGTTGAAGGTATAGCTCATTTTGCTTATATCCTAACTCTTACTTAGATATGGGGTATTCTTCATGAATAAGTTGTGAGCCTCTTACTTCTGTGTATTTTTAGGTTTTCTCAATTTGCTGTTTTTCATAATCTTTCATGCAATAATAATGCAGAATTTCTTAGTCCATGAAATTTGGTGAGCATATTTTCTTCAGTAGTTAATAAATATAGCATTATTTTACTTACAATTATTCTCTTAAAACATGGACTAATCATTTGTCTTTCAAATCAATTCTCAGGTTCACATTAGAGTAAATAAAAGTCAAGATGGAAGAATTGGGAGAGTATGAAGTATCACAAAGATGAAGATAATTAATAGTTATATCTTTTGTTGAGTTCTTGTGGCTTTATAATAGAACTTTTTAATGGATTGTTATTGTAATGATGTGATGTAATGATACACACAAATTTATGTTTACATACATCTGGCTTTTTTAGCTTGATAAGTTTTTACTTTATGAAATATTTATTGTTGGAAGTAGCTACATAAAAAATTTCTTTGAATTGCTACATGAAAATTGTCTTTGAAATTGCTCAAAATTTTAAACTCGTGCTGATTTGTTTGTTGTACATCATGAATTTGTTTACAATATATGATTGGTTATATTATTGAGAACAAATTTTAAGTCATTGTTGGAAGTACAAATTCTTAAAAAAATTAATTTTTTTGCTAATTTAAAATCAAACAATTGAGCGAAATAAACAAGTCAAGCTTGAGCTTTCCAAACAAGTTTGAGTACTTGAGCCGAGCTAGAGCTTGATTTTTCCTAAATGAGTCAAGCTCGAGTTCGAGCTCACTGAAAATTAACGAGCTTAGCTCGATTAGGCAGATACTCGACTCGACTCGTTTACATCCCTTCCTTCGATAATTGATTACGATCCTTCGACCATATTATTACCTAGTTACAATCCTCAAACTATTAAAATTTGACCATCATCAACAAAATATCACTACAAGACTAGTGCCATCTGGCCATTGTCATCAAACAATCGTCTTTCGGCCACTATTGTTAGATATCTACCCTCTAATCACCAATTACAATCATTCAACTATTGTTGCACAATTACAGTCCTCGGCCATCATTAGTTAACTTAGGTCTTCCAACTATTGCAACTCGACCACAATCTAATGACCATTATTATTATACTACAATTCTCTAACACCATCAACTACGATCCTCCAACTAGCATTACTTGAATATGGTCTTCTAATCACCATCGCCCAATTATGGTCTTCCGACCATCGTTGCTCGATTATAATTCTCCAACCATTTTCACCCAATATGATTTTCCGATAACTGTTGCCCAATTACTTTATCCCCAACACTATCGATGAACTAAGATTCTTCTACTAGCATTGTTTGAATATAATCATCTATCCTTCATAGCTTGAGTATAGTCCTCTGGCCACTGCCTCTTAACAACGGACTTCTAAGCATTGTTGCTATATTGTAGTCCTCAAATCTTCATTGCCCAAACTATGATCTTCCAACCCTCGTCACTTGATTATGATCCTCTAACCTCTATTACCCGACGATAGTCCTCCTTCCTTCTTTGCTTAACTACAACCACTATTGCCAAAATACAGTACTCCGACCTCCGTCTTTCGACTATTGTCCTTTGACTACAATCACATGACTATAATTCTTTGAACAACACCATTCAATTATGATATCTCAACCATCATTGCCTATTATAGTCCTCAGACCATATTTATCAACTGCGGTCCTTTGACCATCATTATCTGATCATAGTCCTTTGACTTATAGTGCTTTGACCACCATTGCCCAATTATGATTGCTTAACTTCATTTGTGAATATAATATGTTAAAGATCTTGCCAAACATTGAATGGGTATTCCTGAACTCGAATGAATGACAAATGTTAGAAATATGGTGATAATAGTTAGAGGACTGTTCAACAAAGGTCTGGAAACGGTTGGAAATCCGGTAATGTCCAACAAACAAGCAAAAGTCTGGTTACGATCATTGCTTGAGAAGAAATTCGGCGGTGACCAACGAAGTTCAGCGGAGGTTCGACATTGGTGATAGTGGTTGTCAATGGCAATAACTGGTGGCAATCATCGTCGATAATGGCTGAAAAATGCAAGATAGCTCTCACTAGTTCTCTCTTCTCCTTCTTGTCCTCGTCTCCCCTCCATATGAAGAATGAAGGCTTATTCATAGTTTTTTAAGGGTTGCATGGCTCTAAACATGGAGAAGATCAAGGGCAAGTTGGGAGTGTTCCAACGGACAACCGACGTCGACTCTCTTGATCATAAATTATTTATTGAGCATTTAATTGCCTTAATGGTGTCAGAATTAGGCGTTCTTGGGCTTGTTAGATTTGTCTCATCGAGCCACTCGATTTGACTGTAAGTATGTCATATTTAAATATTATTTGGTCATCCAATTAGTGTTCTAAAGCTTTCTAATAAGCTCTAGTCTTTTTATTTGGCTCGATTGGGCTCGTATTAGACCGAACTTAGTCTCATTGTAATCATCTCACTAAGACGATCAATTTCTCTATTAGTTTGCTAAAATCAGAGTTCAGAAGACCTCATATTTAATTTTTGAAACTTCTTACTCATATTCACATCGAGATTCATGTTTAGAGGTTCAGAAGACCTCATATTCAATTTTTGACACGACACGAAACACGACCCGAACCCGACCCGGAAAAATCCGGGTTCGGGTCAACCCAAACCCGAAACGGGTCGGGTTCGGGTTCATGAAATCAACCCGTTTTAAAAATCGGGTCGGGTTCGGGTTGACCCGCCAACCCGAAATTGACCCGAAAGTGACATGAAAACTCATTTTTGACCTGAAAACCCGAGATTGACCCGTTTATGACCCGATTTTGACCCGAAAACCCGAGATTGACCCGATTTTTGACCCAAAAATTAGCAATTTTGGGTCAATTCCGGGTCATTCGTGTCGGGTCGGGTTGACCCGGACCCGAATCGGGTCGGGTTTGGGTCCAGAAACCTGACCCGTTTTTAAAAACGGGTCGGGTTCGAGTTGACCCGAACAGTGCCGGGTCAGTTTCGGGTTCGACCCGAACCCGACCCGTTGACCCGAATTGACACCCCTACTCGATCAAAATAGTTTTTTGATGACATATCACATGCCTGATGGATAAAATCTTGTTTATGAACCTAGAAGTATTGAGGTAAATCCTTAGCCACACCGTGGGTTGTGGAGTTTTTTTTTTTCTTTAATAATAAAAGATATAAATAAATTCTTTCGGGAGGAGAGCCTTTATTGCATGCATTTGGACTGTAAGCTTTTTTGGCCAATGGAGGCCCGGGCACGGAAGGCCTCCAATGTCAATCCTCCCATGCCTATAACTCTTTTAAATTCCGGCCTATAATCCCTTTCATATAATTTTTGTCTACTATATTTTATCAACATTTCTCATAATAACAAGAAAGGAAATTATTTATAATCCATGATAAACAATAATGAACTTATTTCAACTAGCTAGATCATTTGACTATTTTTATGATTTTCACATAAAATATGTGATGTCTAATGACAAATTTTTATTTATGCTTGCATAATTGAGCTTCATAAGCAACAATGTTCAACTTTTTTTTGCCATCATGAATTCCCTTGCAAACAGCACAAACATATCATTATTTTAACAAATATATATTATCATAGTTAAACTTTAATCATTACTTGACCCAATTTTTTTCAAATATAAAGAAATCATAATTATTGCTCCAATTTGAAAATGCGCTTCAAACTATCGGAAGTAAAAGTTTTTTATTTTTTTTTATTTTTTTACATCAAAATAAAATTTATTACAATTAATAAACTAATGATCTTGCTCCATGCTTGGCAACTGTTGATCTTCTGCCGGAATGGGCGCGGGATCCCCGTCGTGGCAAAATTTGAGCCCATGTCCGGCGGGGCCCGCATCGGCTGCTTAAAGCTCGTCAGCGACGGATTCTTCTGAAGAATTTATTTAAGTGCGGAAGGTAAATTTAATATAAAAAAATTTATTCCTAATGCAAATTGTAATAGGATAATTTTAAAAATTATTAGATTTATTTTAAATAATATAATATACAATTTTAATATGCTTCGCTGATTTTAAAATCAATACTGGTATCACAAATTTATTATCCTTCAAAATAGTATTTAGTAATTAGTAATTGGTTTTTGGGTCCAGTCAAATCCGAAATTGATTCGCCTTCCACTAATCTAATTCAAGCACAACTTGATTAGACAAATTGGACAGGAATTGAGACTCAAAATCGATAAATCGGGTTATCTAGTTAACCTGACCCAACTTGCTAACCTTAGTAATTTGCAAGGCAACATGCTAGAGAGGATGTGGGCCGCAATGGCGAGCTAAGGTGGGATGTGCCCGATGCAAGAGTAATTGCCGGGTGCGAGTGCAAGTGCGGGTGCCGGGTGGGAGCGCGAGTGCGGAGAGCCTGCGCAGGTGCGTAGCTGGAATTGGGTTAACCCAGGTCAAATTGTGTTAGCAGGCTGACCCAAATCAGACCCAAATTTTCAAACAAGTCATAAATTGGAATATGAACCGACCCATTTGTAGAATTGGTCGATCCGAATTCAAGTTTTATGAGTCGGGTTCCGATCACTCAATATCAACCAGACACGTGTCTCAAGCGCGTCAAGTCCACCTGTCCAAACTTTTCACGACCTTTTTCCTCCGGAGCCTTCACAAATAACGAAATTACGTTTTGCTGCTCTTCGTCTTCATCCCCGCTCCACTCTGTACGCTTATCTCCATTCCTGGCGGTTTGTCTTCTGCTCTTAGCTTCGATTTAAATATTTAGCGGCATTTAACCATCACCATTCGTCGTCTTCTTCTGACCGACAACTGGAATTAACTCATTTTGAAGTTCGAAGATTATAATCTTGGGTTTTGGTTCTAGGTTTTCTTGAAATGCTAGGAGCAACATTGCAGATTGCACGCGGCCACGGGGAGGATCGGTTATATAGCCCCTCCAAGGCATGGCGAGGCTACCATCAGCATCTCCAGTACCTTTCGAGGTCACGAAGCAGCAGTTCTGCTGGAGTTTGGTCTGTTCCGCCTCTAGTATTAAAAGAGAAGGCTTCCGTTCCTGAGTTCCTTGAGCCGGAGGATCGAACTGGATCAGAAATAGAGCCATCAAATGCTCAATCTGTTTCAGCTTCTTCGGCTTCTTCTTCTTTGTGCTCGTCTTTGGTATCCGAGAATGCCCGTTCTAGTAACTTGGATTGCTTCTTGGAGTCGACGACTCCGTCAATTGCTGCTCAGTTTTTCTATAAGGTAGCAAAATGTTTTTTTTACGCTTGCATATTTGTCTTTGTGACGTTTATAGTAAGTTCTATTTGATATGTCAGACAACTAAGGGAGGGTGCTGGACATGCGATATCGAGTGCCGGCCCTACTTCACTTTGGCGGAGCTTTGGGATTCTTTCAAAGAGTGGAGCGCATACGGGGCTAGCGTTCCTCTGATTCTTAATGGTAGCGATTGCGTCGTTCAGTACTATGTGCCATATTTGTCTGGTATACAGTTATATGGTAAATATAGTGGGTAAGCTGTTTATTTTGGGTGCTGAACGCAATCTAGTTGTTTTAATAATTTCTTTATATCTTAAAGTCAAAACATAATATTTTTTTGGTTTTTTTTTGGTAAATATTTTTATAGTTTAATTTTGTTGTTGTGTTAATTGCTCTTACTTTGTTGTTTGGCTTCAAATTTTTTCTGATGTACTTGAAATTTGCATAATAGGGAGGCTAAAAATGAGGAAGCTGATTTGTATTTGTAGTTTGTTTACTATCATTTTCCTTTGTTTTCCTTTGCAACTTGCTGAGGATTAATAAGAAAAGAAAATGTGATTTTTTCCATTGCCAGTGCGAGCAGCATAGCTCACCTTCATTCTGGTGGGCGGGCCAAGAACCACCTAATAAGGCACCTAAATTGGTTTTATATACAAAACATGTCATTTTGAGTCAGCATCTTTCATTTCAGTGCCGTCAAATACTGAATAAGTTGTTCTCAATAATCAATATTCTTTAATTATGAGCTTAATCTGAAATTGTTATATATATTTTGGCTGAAGAAATGACCCTGTATAGTTGTGCATTTCCTTCTACTAAAGCTGTTTAAGGCCAATATCTAAACTTTATGTTTTACTTTTCTGTTTATCATCTTTGATCAGATTTTTTTTGTTCTGTTACTTATGAGTTATGTGTCATTTGATGTAATAGGAGATTTGGTGAAAAGAGTTATGCTAACAAGTCTAAAGACTTCACTACTGACGGAAGCGGTGAACATAATTCTGGAAAGTGCATGAAATCAAAGGGCTTCATTCAGAACACTTCCAAGTTTAGCATAAATGGATTTTTCTTAAGAAATAACGATGTTGCCTTGACGGATGAGTTTTTAAACAATGACACTCGAAATACTGATGGTATGCTGCTTTTTGAGTTCCTTGAGCAGAATGCTCCACACAGTCGGGAACCTCTAACCAACAAGGCAAACTTTATTCTGTAGTAACTTTAAGTTGATTTCATTTGTGATAGTATAAAGCATGTATTGTTGCTTGCTAATCAAGTCGACTCTCCGATCAGATTTCAGAACTTTCCTGCCACTTTCCTGGATTGATGTATCTTAGAAGTTGTGATTTGTTGCCTACCAGTTGGATTTCTGTTGCATGGTAACTGATGAACTCATGATGAATTAAAGTTTTTTTTTTTTCTTGATGCCTTTGATTGTGCTCATGAGATGTGGAAAATATGAAGGTACCCTATCTATCGGATACCAACTGGGACAACATTGAAGGATCTTGATGCTTGTTTTCTTACTTTCCATCCTCTTTCAACACAAATTAAAGGTATCTTGTTTTTGTGATAACGTTGCATCTAGAACATTAACTTAATCAAATCTAGTAATGAGCAAGGATTAGAAAAACAGCGCTACTCTTTTAAAAAATGTTCAAGTTGCTTAGTGGAAATATTGCACTGTAGGTTCTTTATTATTTTTATTATTGTGTTTTTCATTCTCTAGTTTAAGTTGTTATACCATTCAGTACCTATATTTTCTCATTACAGTCTATTACATTATGAAACTCTTCAGTGTTTGCCCAAAAATATATATTGGCATAACTGGTGTGAAACAATCAAAGGAATTGCAGGATTTCATTAAGAAATTTATTTTAACAATGAATTTATATGATTAATGTTTCACTAAGTTAAGATTTTCAGATTTCGTAGTTATTGATTTGCTTCCAGCATGCGGTTTCACGGTAGATTTACAGAGCGATTCAAGACAATAACAAGACGATAGCAAGACAAATATGCAAGTAACGATAATCCGGCACTTAACAAATAGAACTTTCACCTTCGAGTTTTCCTCTCGATCGCTCTTTAGAAGTAGGGTTAGCGGAGGATAAAGGTTAGCAAACCCAGTGACGCCACTGAAAGACAGAGGATGCCGACGGTCTTGATCAATGGAGAGTTGGCAGGAGTTGGAGAGACGGGTGGTCATCCTGCGATCTTTTACGATCCTGTGGGTTGTTGCTCTTCGATGATGTCCGCCAAAGTGAAGAGAATGCGCTCCACATATTCTTCGACAATACCTTCAGATCCAAATCCGGGATCGAAAAAAAGGTGATTGAATGATGTCGATTTCCTCTTGAGAATTGTAAATGAATCCGTGATCAACTTCCTGATCCGCAATCCATGGACATGGGAGGACTCTTTGTTGTGTGCCTTGGAGGGGGGGAGGTCAGCGTTTGGTGGTCGGGAGAGGAGGGGCGGCGGTTTGGGCTAAGAAGGTGAGGGAGGGGATGACTAGTGTTAGTGGAGGGGGATTGAGGGTTTAATTACTCCTTTGGAATCTATTATCCAAAGAGGGTAATTAATTAAAGGAAATAATGGATGGGAGGGAAGAATTTGAATTCAAAAATTGAATTCAAATTTTGTTTTAGGCTAATGGGGGACCAGCGACATGCATGTGGGGAAGAGAGGGGATCCAATAGAGGTGGCCGACATATAGAGCTAGGGGGGAATTTAATTTCATTGAACATGTGGGCCTGGGAAGGGTTTAATTGGAGTGCCATTAAATCTGAAATTGATTTAAGATTTTAATATGTTTAGGAAGTTTCCTAATCTACGCCATTAATAGGGAAAGTTTTAAAATTCAAATTTGAATTTGAATCTAAATGTGATAACTTTCCAAATTAATAGGGATGTAATTTAGGAAAGTGATAAAGAGTGATTTTGAAATTTGAATTTAAAAATCCCTAGGTAGTGGAATGAGGGTCGGTGGCTTGTGGAGCTTGGGAGGCGGCGGTGAGGGGTTTGGTGGGGTTCGGTGGTGGACGGGGAGGGGAGGCCAGCGGCAGAAGGTGAGGCGGGTTGGTGGTGGGTTCGGTTTTGGAGAGGGAAGGGGGATGGAAATTTTTTGGTTGGGGGGGGGGGCGGGTAGGAGGGGAGGTGGGAGTAGAGAAAGAAAGAAAGAAAGATTAAAAGACAAGAAAAGATTGAAGCCGCGAACCTTGGAATCCTCCGAAGGTTGATGGGTATTGCTTTCACCTGCCTAGAGTTTCTCCTTTCATGAACTCACAAAGAGATTAAGCAAGAAAGTGAAAATTTCATTCATAAGTATCATTAGAAAATAATACAAAGACTAGGGCTTCATATATAGGCCTCCAAAGCACAAAATATAAAAGACACAAATGCCCTCAGGCTACAACATGACTCAATCCCTCATAGGGGAACAAATTGAAAACTGAAAAATAAACAAATTGAAAACTGAAAAATAAATAAAAAAAAAGCACTAAAACATCATAAATAGAGACTATGAATCGTAGCCGTCGATCTACAATCCTGTCGATGTCCAAATGTCCGGTGGATATCCTCATCAATAACACTTTAATATTCAAAGCACAGTTTTCGTTTTACTTTTTTCTGTTATATTATCTCGTTCAGTTATGCAACATATGGCTATATTTTTGGTAGAAAAATGAGGGACATAAGTTTTAGAAACCATCGTCAAAGGAACTGATCATTGTAATCCCGTTCAGACTTCAGGAAGCTTGTAAACTTTGGAATATTTTCCTGTGTTTGGGAAGTTAGCACTGATGTGTTAGATACAAGAAAATTGCTGTCCTATTTTTCAGAAGAAAAAAATTATAAATAATACCCATAATTACTTTAAAAAGTCTACACTTCCCACAAAAACTCTATAAAAGTATTTGTGTCCCAAACAGAATCTTAAAGAAAGTATGAACTTCCTTTGATGGAAATTGAAATAAAGGATAGAAATCAATTTAGATGAAAATTTAATAATCTTATATCAGAGGTTAATAATTAGAATTAAGGTTCAAGAAAGCCCTACACATGATTGAAATTCTTGCAATTAGCATAAATTAAGATTATAGCAAATTTTACTAAACACAAGTTGTCTTTCTAATTGATAATAAAAAAAACTGTTCAAGAAGAAAAAAAATAATAAAGAAGGCAGTAAATAATTTACTTGAAAAGCTATCCAAAAAATTTTCAATTCTCTTACTTGATCAATGATTTGAACCTAGAAATAAGGAAAATGTTTTTTTTTTTTAAATTAGAAATATAGTTTAGATTTATGTACATGCCTCATATTCCTATTTTTAATTCGTAAAGTAACCAAGAAGTGCCCTACACTAATTTAAATTATAACAAAATCACAAATGAAGGAAAAAATAAATTACAGAAATATTGCTGATATAGGCCTTTACTGCCTCTTGTTATAGTCCTACGAAGAAGGCCATAGAAATATAAGAGTCGTGGATTAGCTGTAGAAATGGAGGAGTCATGGGTCAATAAGGAAAGCTAGAAATCCTTTCTTCTGCTATGATCCCATATAACCTTAGTCGTAGGGAACCAAACAAGTATAAAACCAAGAGGGATTTTTTGTAGAGTAATCCGTAAATCATTTCATGTACGCAACCTTTCCATCATTTGTGGTCATCCCTAATATCCACCATTACTATTGGTCATGATTCCTTCACCCGTTCTTAAGGTATAACATTCGTATGGCCATCTGAGAGTTGTGCATATTATATATTAGATGTAGAACTTGAAGGAGATTAAGGAAGAGAACAATATAAGGACATTGATTGATGATGGTTCAAGATAAATTTAGATAAAATAAATGAAAAATTGATGCAATCAAGGATAATCCTATGTTTTATTTTTCTATGTTTTTTTCCCCTATGTTTTGGACTCTATGTTTTTTTTTTTTTTTTAAATTTTTGTTACCCTATGATGAAAGACAACCAATGATCTTGCTAGGTTGGTGCTTTTGTATTTATCTCTCCCTTTCCTTCACTTGGTTTCCTTGGTTTTTTGTGTCCTTGGCTGCTGTGTGCTTCGAATCCCCCCAGCAGCTGTCCCATGGTTTTATGTGTCCTTAGCTACTGTGTGCTTTGAATTCCCCCCTCTTGGCAGCTGTCTCACGGTTTTCTGTGTCCTTGGCTGCTGTGTTGCTTCGAATTCCCCCCTAGCAGTTGTCCACAGTTTTCCGTGTCCATGGCTACTGTGTGCTGCTTCGATATCCCCCTTGGTTGCTGTCCCTTGGGTTTTGTTGTTGTTTTTCTGTGTTCCTATTGGCTGAATGGTTGGTGCTTTTATTTCCTGCATTTAATTCCTTTTCTCTATATATAAGGACTATTTTTCTTGAGTTGGGACAATTTTTTGGTGATGTGTTTACATACAAACCAGCTGGTTTTTAGTTTGCGAGCTAGTCTCATATTCCCTTCTCCTCTTATAGTTCGTCTTGATCTTCTACCTCTTCTTCTCTATCTACGGTTCCCGTCCCATTTGTATCATTCTTCTCTTGAGAGTTTGGTGGTGTTTGCTGCCTTGTTTTGGTTGGTATTTGCTGGAGGAGTGTGTACTTGTGCCATATCGTTTCAGTGGTAGATTATGGGTTAGATTTATCCTTTGAGCACCTATCCTTTATAGTTCAAGCTTTGCATGTGAGGTAACCGCTTGTCGGTTATTTTGAGGGTAGCCTTATTGTCATTTCCTTATGTTTACGAATTTTATAATCTGATTTCTAGAAGTTGTTTATCCCTCATGTTTTATTTTGTGGATGTTTATGAGTTATTGAAATGAATAATTTCCCTATTGCTTTCCTAAGTATTCTCCATAAAATTTTTAGAAACTTAGGTCGCATTAATTTGGTATTAGAGCCCTTGGTTGTCGTTCTAGTCTTCCTTTCTTCTTTATAAAAATATGGATAATCAACAAGCTGAATGGCTATGCATATTTATGCAACAACTGGTTAACCTACAACAACTAATGGAAGCAATGCCAATGATTAATACCCTGGCTGCACTAAGTCCAAAATGCAAATCTATTTTGAAACAAAATGCGAGATCCAATAAGATGAAATCTATATTCCAACGAGCGAATTCTAGTTGTCTGCAAAACTCACTTTGGAGAATGCCTATAGATGAAGTTGGTTCTTCAATTAATCCTATTTCAGTTCATAATCTTGATAGTAAGTTGCCATATTTTCCTTCTGGGAATCAACATCCTCAATAAAAAAAAAAAAGAAATGCAGCCAGGTTTATGCTATTCAAGATGCTCAGTTTACCATTTATCCATTCAATGATATTATGGATAAATTTGATACTCAAACAATAGACAAAGTTGAAGTCGTGGATAGGTTGTTAGCATGTGAGGAACAATGTATTAAAAGAAAAAGTGAGGTGTAAACACCGACTGCCAAAGAGATACAAGACCATGAAAGGCACATGGGCTCAAACTCTCTTTAATGAATCCCTTATTGAGTAAGTCGTCGACTTGTTCTTTCAATTTGGCATGCTCTTCGGGATTCATACGGTAATGAGGAAGGTTGGGCAAAGAAGCTCCTAGC